TCTCAAATGTTTTGTTTTGGGAGGGAAGCAGCCTAGTGAATTTTGTTTTTGTTAATTCCCTCGAGTTTGTTTGTGTTCTGCTTCCAGTACTGTGGGAAAATTAAGCTGGGGAAAAAAATATGTACATGACAACTGAAACTTATGAAAATGGTACTAATTGTGTTGCAGTTTGTAAAGACCTTTGTTTACAAAATAAATTGGTGAGTTTAATTGATAGCGACCCTTTTAAGTATTGTCTGTCTGGCTTGTTATGTAGAAGGTATTGTGGATCTTAAATGATGCAATAAAACCAGGAAAAATACCTAGCTGTCACTTACATCTTGTTTTGACCATATCTGCGTATTTTTTTAAACAAAAAGATAAGGAATCTCATCCTGCAGTTCATTTTGGAAGGTGCCTCTGGTGAGCTTTGATCACGACATGTATCTGATGTCTCACAGTTCTACCCTCATAGCAGTTACAGTCCCCTTAAAATGTGGCATTATGAGAACTAATTCTGAGATCTTTGTGTACACCTTTACAATTGCTAGAAGGGTAGGTTGGTTTTTTCAGCGTATTTTTCATGGTTTAAGAAGTTCTTACCATCATCAGCCCCGCTGCCCTTCTGCTTGAAATTACTCTTCCCTGGAGCAGAGCTGGCAGACTGAAATGTGGGCCCTGTTTTAGCCACTCTCATGCAAAGTATCATTTTGATTTAAACTCTCTTTATTAGCGGTTCATTCTAAGCCATTGGACTTTGCATTGAAATAAGTCGAGTATGGGCTTGTGTTTTCTTCTCTCAGTTCCTCTGGGGAAGAATGAAGGTGAGTAGGCAGGAATTTTTGGTAGAAAAGTAACAAATAGGTGGTAGCACCTTAAATTGCTGTAGGTGTTTGCTAAGCAAGCTGACGTTGTTGCCTATTGTCAATTACAGCAAATCATGTATGTGAAGAGGGCACGTTATATGTTAGGATGTGGATATTTAGTCTTCAGCTTCTTTGCTGCCATAAAATGTAAGAACAGGTGTATTAAAGATAATTACTATTTTTAGGAAGTCTTACTTTATTAGTGATTTTGTTTGCCTTAAAGTGTCTGGCCTTTGTTTTATTCAGAAGCATTCCAGATAGCTCAGATAAATACTCTTTATTGAACATTGCTTCACATTGCTTCAGTGTAAATGACTTCCATGAGAACAAAATGTGGAACTTTAATGTGCTACCAGTTACAAGGAGTTACGTTTGTAGAATATCCATTAGTTACCAACTAACGCTCGTAAACTGGGTGTTTAGAAACAACAGAAAGCTGCAGCTATTGCCATGAGTTGTTCACCCTCTCTTTATAGATCCCTCATTAATACATCAGTCCATGGGAAGCATTTTGTGAGGAGGTGAATACAATATTTATGGGTGTTTTTCAGTTACATGGATGTTTTAAAAAATATCTTCTAATGGTCAGAGTTTTAAGTGTGAGCTCTTCTGCCCCACTTGTCAGTGGCACGTTTATATTACCTTGAGTTATTTACAGCTTGGTTTTCTAAAACTGTCAAGTTTAGTTAATTTTCAAATGAAACTCTGTGCCTAAGAATATGATCAAATATGTTAAGTTAGCATTTTAGTGGGTTACTTATCCTTCTTTTCTCCTACCACAGTCTTGTCCATGTACTCTACCCTTTTTGTGGTGCAGTGAGTTAAAATGTGTGCGTGCTTGGTTTCTGCATTTCAGCTAAAAAGCAGCTGATTCTTAAAGCGTGCTAACTTAGTGGCCCGACTGATTTAGCATAAGGTCACGCAATTGCGAGCAGTTCTGAAAAAGCTGTGCTTAAAATGTGTGTACATTGGCTTCCTGATCTGGCTTGTGAATGAAGGTGCCTTCCAAAGAGTGCGGTGATACCGCTGGAAGAAAACCAGTGTTAGCCTTTCAAAAGCACCGCAAAATGCTCTAAATAGCTACCTTGTGAAGTAACATAAAAGTAATAGTGATTATGGTTATGCTAGTGGTACTAGAAATGGGAAATGTGAATACGGAGAGATAATCAAACCCTTGGTCCCAATGCAATCAGTATTGTGAGTCCTGTTGATTTCAGAGGAAGCAGAACAAATGCGGTTTGTCAGTTACAGACTCCCGGTGGAAAAGCTCCTCAGAAGGGCTAGGCCGTGCCGTGTCAGGATGACCCTCAGTTTTATTTCTTTCTGATAGGGTTAGGTTCTTAATTAAAGGAGCCTAGGACATAAGTCTGTTTTTATGTTGACATTGAATAGATGGGCTTCATTGAATGTTGCAGAGGTGGGAGGAAAAAAACCAACCTGTGTTTCTTTTGTCTTTATAAACCTGTGCACACTTCAGTTACTCTACGTTCCTGATCCTTTGTGTGCTTAGCTTTTTTCTTTTGTTGTTTGCAGAGTGCATGTGAATTTACATCAAATAAGTAGGATATTTTTTGATTTTGTTTTCCCCTCTTACCATCCCTATGCAGCTCAAGACAAAAGGAGAGAGGAACATACTAAAATGTCACCTGAAGTTGCCTTGAACAGAATTTCTCCAGCGCTTTCGCCCTTCATTTCCAGTGTGGTCAGAAATGGAAAAGTAGGACTGGATGCTACTAATTGCTTGCGGATTACAGACTTGAAATCTGGGTGAGTTCCTCATCCAAAAAGAATACCCAGCCCCTCACAGTTAAGATGTCTTTTCAGGGCTGAATTTTACTAGGTTCATGCGTATTTAAGCATTTCCAATATATTTGGAGCTGACATACTAGCTACGTTGTTTTTTTGTCTTACTACGATTTTGCAGTTCGGGAGACTTAATTTGTCATTTTATTGGCAATAATCTTGTTAAAACACTTTCGTTGCTCCTGCTTCTTAGTGCTGGTTTTCAGCAGTGAGATAGTTATCGACACTTTTTCCTGTTGTTTATCACTTGCTTACTCGATCTTTTCCGTAAATTAAAAACTTGAAGATAAATTTGTGTGACCCTACCTGTAGCCATGCATATACTAAATAAGAAAGAAACTTTTCCTTTGTCTGATCTCCTGCAGCATCAGTATATCAAGTGGCTGTAGGGCCAAGTGTTTGAAACAGGACACGCTACACCTTTTATTTTTAATTCCAGAAGCGTTCATGATGGTTTTCAGATACTAGTAAAGTTTGGGATCCGCATGTACAAAGTGACCTGGGTGTGTAGCCTCTGTGAATAATACATGGGGGAAGTGAAATGCTTGAAGTATAGTTTGCTTTAGGCATTGTGCGGGGAGGGGAGACTCCCAAGGTGGCTGATAAAAGAATACTTAAGATGAGACATGTCAGAAATTGCTTTATTCTTTTTTGGGCATCTAACGGCATGCCCAATTCAGGTTATTTATTTGATAGTGGAGTTCAAAGCCTGAATTTACTTTAGCTTAAGGTGTACAAATCATTGCTTTTGTACAAACTACTGCCTTGTCTCTCGCTTTGAGTGGTAGTATAACTCAAAAGATCGTGGGAACCACCACAAATCACCATTTTATTTAGTTCTGCTGAAAACTTTGTTTAATACCCTTCTGGAGGCTGCTTTATTATGGTTTCATGGGGAGTTTGGGAGGTGCTTTCCTGGTAGTGACAATGCCTTTTCAGGAAGGAGGTGTGAATTCTAGGGTTAGTTTGAAAGGAACCATTCCTTCCTTGTAAGGTGCTGTGGCAGAGTACAGATTTACTTGGAGGTTTAAGAAGTTACGACTTTGTTGTTAGTGTTGTCTGGCTGTGGCGTTTAGGCTTGCAAATTACGTGAGACAGGCTGAGCCGTTATGCATCTGCTGCCATCACTTCATGCTAGACCTTGCTTTCTCTTGAACTAGTCTTCTGGGAACCCTGAGGTGGGAGCTATCTTAGGTTTTTCTTATGGAATCTGAGAGAAAGGAATACAAAGAAAGGTAGAGAGAAGACACAGCTGTAGTCTGGTGGTGAAGTAGCAGCTTGTCGGGAGGTCGATAAGGGTTTTGCTCTCTGCCCGTTGAATGCTTATGCTGCTTGCCTTTAAATAATAGATTAAAATAATAAAAAGTGGTGTCTTGTAGCTGACTTTTCAGAGGTATTTTTAACAAGTGTCTGAAGTTTTCAGCCATTGATCTCACCGAGAAGATCTTGAATTTACTTTGATAAATCCTGAATGTTTTCCAAGAGTTTATTCTTTAAAAAAACCTAAAACCTGCTCCTAATTGTGCCTGTCATACAAACCCAGTGGTTCAAATTGTGTAGTTACTGTGTGGAACATGGAGTCTACAACACAAGTACAGCACCTGACAGAGGTTGTCCCATGTCTTATTTAAAGGTGTAGGCTCAGCTATATGCAAGTGCTAGCAGTATTTATGGGGTTTTTTCTTGTTCTGGAACATAGAAATGAACCTTACTCTTTATGTTGAGGCATTTTTATGGCTTGAGGTTATTAGGAGCTAGAGTTGGGATCATCAAGATTCTGCATTTAGTTGAGAATTATTTTTCAATGTAGGTTTTTTGTACAAATAAAAGCTTCTTGAAAGCATTGTTCTAAACAGGGTTTATTAGCAATTGCTTGAAATGTATTTGAAATGTAATTTCATGCATGTGGGTTTTTAGGAAAGTTTTTTGTTATTTGCTACAAACAAATCATGGTTAGTTTATTTATAATAGAAAAATTTGGAATTTATGCATCAGAGTGGAAATACGAAGTTCCTTGTCATTTAGTGCCTTATGATGTCACTGAACAATAAACAGTGTAAAATTATTTAACATAAAATGGATGCATCACAGAATTATAGGGAAGTCCCTTCCATAACTTAAGGTCTAGTTCAGTGGTCTTTAATCTTTGATACATGAGCATTTGGGACTCCACAGACTGTTTTTGAGAGGTCCATGTCAGTTGATTAATAATAAAACCCCAACCCACTGTATTGTCAGTAGATCTAAATTTGTTGGTGGATGCTGCCTCTAGAAGAAAACTCTGTAGGACTCTGAGAGTCCAAAAATGGATTGAAAACCATTGGTCTACTCTCCTCCCCTATCCTCACATCACAAGGTTGTTCAAACCCCTGTATACTTTCACTTTTGTTAAGCTTTTTTAGAGAGAAATGGCAATGAAGAGGAAATAGCAGGCAGAGGCAAACGTAGGTGATAGCAGCATGAAGAAACAGAAGTATAAGGACATAGAGGGTGGTTGTAAGCAGGAGCAAAATGAGAACAGTTGAAAACAAGGAGAAATGGGATGATGTTCAGGACATTAATTGCAAAATTCACTTCAGTTTCAGTGGGGCTGAGTCGGGCTTTAAACTGTGGAACAGGAAGGTGAGGAAGAGGTACTAAATGAAATGTTTGAAGTTAAATAAAAAGCAATTCTTTATCTGAAAGGAATATGACCATTTATAAGTACTATCAGTTCAGAAACTTTGCTTTTGAATAGTGATTGTGCATTTATTGACACATGGAAGGGGCTACAAACACATCTCTTCCATAGCCTGGCTTGAGTTTATTACAGAATGTGTGACTATTTTATGCTTTAACTGGTGTGTTGTGTGGAAGATTTTTAAGAATAAAATAAATACAATTTTACTATAACCTTTAGGATGTTAGGATACTTAAGGCAGTTATGTCAATAGCTATTAACTTTGAAAACAGAAGCATCTAGAAGCTTCTGGGTCAAGGGGAGGAGCTGCATGGCTGCTCTACTGTCATGTACCACGCTGTTACTCTGATAGAAGATGAGGGGTTACTGTAGTTACTGTACTGCCCTGACGAACCAGTGCTTTACAATGTATAACAAAACAAAGTGTACTAACTGAAGAGCCATCCATTCTCATTTCTTGGGTTTTAGAAACTGGAGCTGTGGTTAATGGGGAATAATGGTAACATACAGAATACAGTAATATCCTTGCCCATTCAGAGCCTTGGTTTTGATGTTCTCAACTCAGAAGTGGAAGGAATTTCCTTTTTATTTCACCAGTGCAGGATCAAGTTCCAGGTTTCTAGCCTATCATGTCAGTTTGGTTTGATTTGTAAATGCCAAACATATTAAGCCTTTGATTATTTGAAAAGTTAATCCATATGTCAAATAGTTTTAGTGTGGAACTCATTTTGCACTTATTCTAACTTATTGCTAAGATTGGCTACTTAGTTGTGTTGTGTTTATAAACTGTATTAAAGAGCTGATGTTAGATTAACAGTATGAAGTATGATGATATGTTAATTTGCTTTGCTTGCAAGTGTGGGAGGGAAATATGTCATAGTAAGGAAATCCTATTGTTTTGCAGTCTTTGAGTATGTAAATGTTTTATAATAATATGTTACAGCTCCATAATGTCTGCGTGTTTTACAAACTCATTAGACAGTACCAATCTCATCAGACACTTACATAGATTTACATCGATGAGCAGGACCTTCAGGATCAAGTCCTATTTATAGGAATTACATGGCCGCTGCTGATGCAGAGTGAGTAAAGAAATGTGAGTACCCCTGAACTGAGCTCGGCGATGTGGCGGGGCAGGGAAGAAGGAAACTCTTCAATAGACATAGTAATAAAAAGCTAGGTGTCCAAGTCTGCAGAGCTATTGCCTTCTTTCTTGTAAAAAGGGCTCCACAGCGAACAAAACTAGAACCTGAGTGTAAGGTCGCATCTGAAATACAGCACCTTCAGCATCATTGATTCTGGTGATAAGAAAACCCTGGGAGGCATCTCTGTTGCATTAAAAGACGTTCTTTGAGATGAGAGAGTGGATCAAAGCATTTTAACTCTTGCATAGGATATTAACTTGTTCTAGACGCAAAGAAAATACTGCTGCCGATTGAGTCAATGCCATATATTGTATCATTCAGTTAATCTCCAGTGGTGTCTCTTTGAAATAATCACCCGTCTTCATTAGATATTAAAATCTACTCATAAGCAACTGAATTGTGGCTAAGGCATTTTTCTTAGAATTTATACATATAATCATGGGAAAGGTGTTGAATAGGGAAAAGGGATTATTAGGTAGATTTAGAAATAGAGGACATTTTCCTGTGTGAAGGGTGTTTAATTATCGTATAATGTAGAATCCAATTATTTAAGAGGCCGCTGCTTTTCCTATGGTGTGTTGCAGTAGTGAAAAACATATTTGTGGTGGTCGTTGCCTTTGAGAACTTTTTTTTTTCCC